GAATGCCAAAACAGTATAGGTCAAATAAAGATGGGTTTTGTAGGTGTCTGACAAACTGATGTAGATTAGTGATGAGACAGGACAGTGTTTTAATAAGACACTACATTGACAGTAAGCAAAAACATTAAAGACAGTGTAATAAATCGTATAATGTCTGCTCGGCTTGTGTAATTCCGGTGTAGTATATTAGAACAAATAATAAAATAGACAAATATTACGTATTTCTAAGTTGTTTGGGATTTTATCACATGATCAGAAGTGAAATGGATACCAAATGAAGACTTCGGTGAATATTCACGCTGTATCACAAGTTGACAAGAATGAGAAAGTGTGAACCAGTGAACTTCATCCTAACAGGCCGAATGATTAATTGGTTAGCTGTGAAACCTAAAAATCCTGGACTCAGATCTTGATAGGTTCGTGACAACCTACTGTCAAGGTGTCTCATACTAGGAAGAAACAGGTGTTTAGTGATCCTAAGTTCTTAGTGGTTCCTCAACTTACTTCTTGAAGAATACTACCATAAAAGTATTTTGTATTATTCATCAATATTTCCATCTTGCTAGGAAGATCTTTTTCAAGATTATATAGCTGATATTAACGTTTTAGATTAATGTAGAAGTTTAGTACAAAACGTGAGCTTAATGATCATCCGGTTAGATCGTGATACTGAACAGTGATCAACATAAATTAGGTGAGTGATTGAATAAATCTATCAAAGAAACTTGTTCAAGTTGTGCAAATAAAATAACAGATTAATAGGAGGTGAGAAATTTAGTTCGACCATGCAATGTACAATAGAGTTGTTAGTCATCAAGACGGAGTAAGAATAACTTATTATTTTGGTAAAATGAATGCGTTCAAAACAAGTCATACGGAGTAGTGTGAAATGAAGTTGTCCTCAATCTTCTCTATGGAACTTTCTATGCGACTCAAAAATGTCTTCATCATGGTCTGACATCAGCTGGGGAACCATTGAAAATCTGGGAGCACTTGACAGCTGTTTCGTCCTAGTATGGGACTCCTCAGCAGTACGCACCCACGACCTGGCTAGGGGTTGAACTTAGTCCATGATGAATACTACTTCTAAACTAAAAATCCCAATTCATCTCAAAAATCAAAAATGTCTGCTATACCAGTTCGTCTTTTATATTGATCACAAAAAGGTAAGAATAGATACAAAATGTTTCTGTTTTTGAGAAAGGAAACCTTATCGTAAGACCTTTGCCTTTTCCAGTGATACATTAGGATCCGAATATAAGACATGAGGGAGGGATTCGTTGGGCCGAGAAAAAGATCCTAAAAGATTTGAATTTCGCCAATGACTTGTGCCTAATGTCGCATAAACTCGAAGGTCTACAGGCAGAGATTGACAGGTTGACAGAAGAGGCAGGGCAGGGTAGCGAACACGGAACTTCAAGTGAACGTAGAGAAGACAGAGGTGATGAAGATACTCAACCAACAAAAGCAACAACAAGCTCTAATCACCATCAACGGAAGAAACTTAAAGAAAGTAGTCTCTTTCACCTACACGTAAGTAGGCGGCATCGTTTCTACTACAGGCGGCACACGCACAGATGAGGATGACAAAACGAGGGTCGGAAAGACAACAAGACAGGCTTTCATTAATCTGAAACCAATGTGGAGACCTACTGCACTCAGCACAAAGCATGAACAACATACGGATTTTCAACACCAATTCAGTCAAGTCAGTCAGTGCTTCTATGTGATGGTTGAGAGACTTGGCGTGTTACGAAATGGATTTCCAACAAACTACAGATATTCATCAACAACTGACTACTCTGGCTTGTTATTGAAGCTCAGATGGCCAGAATAATAGGAATAAGCAACAAGGAACTGTGGCTGGCTGGCTGGCTGGCTGGCTGGCAACGAACCAACGAAGCAAGAAGCTATTGCTCAACAAATGTGCAGTGGGAGGAAGTGGAGATGGCCTGGGCATACACTGAGAAGGCCGACTGGGGACATCACGCGTCAGGCCAGGTACTCCAGTGAAACTCAGATGGTAAGTGGCGAGTTGGGCGTCCCAGCTGAGGGTGACATGGAGGAGATTGTATGAGGAAGAAATGAGAGCTTGTGGGTAGTCGTGGATCCAGGTTTAAAAGATTGCAGAGAGCAGATTGGAATGGAGACGTGCTATTGATGCCCTATGTTCTACTAGGAACCCGAGGGACAAATAATAATAATAATAATAGGACATGAGGTGCGACTGCAGTGCCTTTTTCAAGTTTTCCAAGTTCATAGGAATTTTTTTATTGCTGCTTCCAACCTCTATCATTTTCGGTTAGACATGTTTGTACTCAACGTGATGTCTCTTCAATGTATACGGCGCCTCATTCACTACGGTCTACCTTAATGAACATAGTTTTATTGTTCCAAATGTAATACTCTGAAAATGTTGCATAATCCGACTTTTGAAAGGTTCGTTATCTTTAAAGCAGTTAATCCTCTTTATAGATTTACACAGCGTCGTAAAACGATGAAGATTATCTAACAGGTGTCATGTATTAGAGCTGTGCATTATGAGAAATCTTACTTCATATGCACATGTCGAGTTGAGTTAGTAATGACCTTAACCGATTTTTCGGATAAATAATCTTACAAAGCCACGTGTGATCATATTTCAAGGTACTATTCATTGAGAAAAGAAGAGACTATTCACCGAAGAAAATTTTCTTTTTCGACGATATCATTTTCTAAAGCTGTACAATCGTATCTATATATATCATAAACATATAACAGTCTATCATTAAACAATGGTGTATAATTGCATCATTAACCTAGTGCTAAAAGAAATCAAAATCAAGAATGCCAAGTAGTTGCGTAATAAACTAAGACAGTAGAAATAACGAGGAAGGCAAGGAGTTTGAAAAGGTGAAAATGGTTGGTATATATGAAGTGAGAAATTCGAGTGTCCCCTTGATAGATGGATGTAAAGAAGGTGAAGAATGAAACAAGGGTCATAATGAAGGTGATAATGATAAACTAACTGATTATAATGAAATCAAAAAAGATTTTGAAAGTGTTAAGACCATGGTAAGTTAGGAGATTGAACATACTTCTGCACACAGATATCAGGCTTGAATTAGTTACTTGCCAGAGCTTCTGGCACAGTGCACAACTATCGAAGGTGTACTCATTTTTGAAATATTCCATTTGACTGTATAAATGACACTGAAGGAGGATTCTGGTCGAGCTGTATGTCCAGAGTTGACCGAATGTTCGAGAATTGAACTATTAATTGATTTACATTTTCATCTCGACAACCATGCAGGATAGTGCTGTGAAATACGTTTGGAAAATGCGCGCTTTGTTTAGCCTATATAACTAGCTCCTCAGCAGAAAGTAGATTTGTAAACACATACTAAGGTAGCCCAAAGTGGTAACTTGTCGTTAGCTTCGCGGAGAAGAATATCTTCTCCAGCGGTTTGGATAGCCGATTCTTCAGGATCTCTGCTGGTGTATCGCCCCTGAAACCAAGGTTCATAAAGAAGGTCTTCTTAGGAACTGTGAGTACTTGTTCCGTATTCTGTTTTAACTTCAAGTTCTTCTCAATAAATCTAGATGGGTCTCCGTTTTGCAAGAGAATCTTCTGTAGTTTGTCTAATTCATCATCGATAGAATCACTCATATAGATCCTTCTGATTCTCGGAGATAAAGAATGGATTAGATCCCTTTGTCTGCTAAGATGCACCCAGTTGTGGAAATTCGAGTATTGTTCATTTATGTAAGCTTCGTATAAATCGATTGCTGAAGAGAACCATCTGGTCTCCGTTTCAATCAAACATCGAGAAAATGAAATTCTTAGTTCTCCTCAAATTCTGATGTGAAGTTGATCGATGGGTGACAATCATTCAACTTTTTAACTACAGTCCCAATATCTGTTTTTTGATCACATATGATGAATGTGTCATCCATATGCCTTTTCTATAGTTAGAAACTACCAGTTGTTGGATGTAGCATACTATTCTTTAGGTTCGCCATAAGGTAATCAGGCCAGCAATGGTCCGAGTGGTGACGCCATAGCAACCCCACTCTTTTGTCTATAAAGATCATTCTTGAATTTGAACTAAACTTTGAAAGTACACCTTAGAAATTATTTATTTTAAATAGTGTTTTGGGATAATCACGTAAAAATTAAACACTTCGATGAAATCACATAGAGAATAAATAGTTTTCATGAGTGGGACATTGGTGAATAGCGAGACCACATCCAGAGAAGTCATTCGCTTACCGGATATATTAACCTTATTAAATTAGTCGACAAAGTTAAAACAGTCCAATAAGCTATGCGTATTTAGCCTTTTTCTGACTGGCTGGAGGACGTCCGACAGCCACTTGGCGATAGAATGGTGTGGTGAATTGTTCATCATGGAATGGGATCATTTGGAGAACCATCGTGAACCTCAGAGCACTGGTTAGCTGTATTGTCCTAATATGGGACTCTTGAGTTATTCAGTGCTCCCAGCTTTTCACTGGTTCCCCGAATGATGCCATTTCATCTTAAGGACACATTAAAGAAATAAGTTAAGAGGTTATTTTATAAACGTTCCCACTTGTGTATTTCAGCAAGTAAATGTTATCTGGTATGTATGAAATGTCATTGTAAGTGATGTCGTAGAGATTATAAGTCGTATGATTCACCTTTGACTTTTATGGAAAATGATACTTTGTTCTAGTTTTGCTTGTACTTTTGGCCTTTTCGTGGAAGGTAGATATCTGTGTTTTTAGACCAATGCAGTAAAACTGAAAATTGAACTGCCACTAGATGGTCTTCAGGGATGTTGATATGTAATCGTGACCTTATTGTCTCTTTTGCTATTCATTCATATTTATGATACCACTATTGAAATCATAGTAAAAATAGTTATTATAATAAGTTGAAAGACTTATACAAACTGTATTAAAGTTCATTAAAGAGAAATATTTACCAACGGGATTGAAAGCAGAAATGCAAACATTCTTATATAACTTCAACTCACTTATTACTGAAGCCATTGATATGGATGATTTTCATTTGCTTCAATAATGTGGATTTACCTGATTCTCCAGTGCCTAAAAGTGTAGGATACAAACACATGGTTAAGTCAAAACTCGTAAAGAAGTTAAAAACAATTAGTTCCCCTTATAAACTTCGGTAAAGCAATAAGCAGACATAAATTGTCTGAACCGTCTAGTGTACTTGTGAGACACACTTCAAACAATCTAATCACACACGTACTTGTCATAGGTATTTACATGAAAACTCATCAAGATAATGGGTAAGAATAAGGAAAGAGGTCAAGTAAGAAGGCTGAATTAAAGGTCGAATAACAATGAAAATCAACAGAGTGAAAATAATAGTATAATGAATTTGGTTTTCATTGTTGAGTTCACCAATGGAGATTTAATGTGATAATAAATTATCATTTGACTATCTGATATAGCAATAGTTTGACAGACTAGAATTTGTACTGGGTATCAACTGAAAGTGAGATGGAAATATGGACCGCGGCCGGATTCCAACCAGCAACCACCTGGTTACCGGCTCGATGCTCTACCAACTGAACCACGATGTCCCACTGCTGACCAGGATTTCATATCACTTCAATCACCAAGAGTTTTGTTCGCCTACCATGTGAATTCGTGACGTGTTACTACCGCTTAATCGTATTTACACTGGCTGCCCAATTCAAATCTAACTGAATCGGAGAGGAGGAGCATCATATTGATTATCATTTAACTGTATGAGATGGCTGTGGTTTGGCTGACTAGTATTTATACTGGATGATGACTGAAGATCAGCAGTCGTACCTCGTAGCTCAGTTGATAGAGCACTGGGTCGAATCTGGCCACAGTTCAGATCTTCATCTCACCTTCATTCATCACCCAGTACATGATAATAAATTGCATATGAACACATGTAGGTGGTTTGCACTTCCTAGTAACTAAGACCTAAATAAATTTAAGGATTTGTCCCCAAAATGTTTCGTAAGTAGGTGTAAAGGAAGTAGCAACGTCACTAATGGTTATATATTTTGAACCAAGAACTTCTATAAACAAGATGTCGCCTTTAAAAGCAAGAATCATTTGAATAACCTACAATTGCCCCCTGAAACTCGTCACCTGTACATCTTTAAATCTAGAAATCCATCGTCAGTATGCAGAGCGAGTATTTCTGTGAGCTAAGGGTTCAGTTGACAAACATTTCAGTCTCTTAAAGCCATAATAAGCTGAAGTGTTCATTTTTTTTCTATCCGTTGGTAAACTGAAATTTCCACTTCCTTAAGAAGGCGTCGTTTTACCAATAAAATCAATTGCAGTATTAACTATCATCCATTGCAAAACTGACAGCACACTTTCTCAACTCCTTTCTGATGAAGCACAAACGTAATATAATCAGATGATTAGCATTTAAAGTAAGATCGATTTGTTCCAAGTAGAGTGCGGAAAAAAATTGCTGTGTATCCGTAATTTTCTTAGTGTAAACGGAAATCGTGGATAGTTTATCGCAGCTAACATCGTCTATAGCAATCGCAAACGAGAATTGATGACAGCGGCGAAGAAGCCTTTGTTCTCACAAGTGAAATTTAAAAAATATACATTTCAAGTGGTATCCTATCGTAACACTTAGCTGGAGCAGTCCACAGAAAGTTATCTCTATATATCCATCACTAATCGACCAATGCTTACTCCAAGACTAAAGGATAACCTAACTAATCTCAGCTCCCCGTTTTGCATACATCATTTCGAATGTTACTGTCAACCAGGTTACATAGGGCGTATTATCAAAAAGGGACATACTCGAGCATTTACCGCCTTGGTTTAGAAAAAGTGAGAAGAAAGTAGTGAACAGTAATACCCCAGCCCAAATAGTTAGGACAAAAGGCATCACACAGATGTTGATAACGTTTTTAATGTCATATACCGTGTACCAATGATGTATGTCTAGTGTAGAACAAACTCAAAGATCTACAGGCGAAAACCAACAAGTTGGCAGAAGAGGTGGGGTAACGAAGACGGGACTTCAGGTGAACATAGGAAAGATAGAGATGATGAAGATACCCAACCACCACCAACAACAAGAAACACCAATCACCATCAATGGGAGAAATGTAAAGGAAGTTCTCTCTTTCACCTACCCACCTACCTACCAATCTACCTGGGCAGCATCGTTTCAGCTACACGCGACGGCACAAATGAAGACGTCAAAGACAGGAAGACAGGCCCTTCTGTATTAATCTGAAGTCAGTGCAGAGATCTACTGCACTGCCAGTGCTCCCAGGTTTCCTGTGTTCCTCCAACTGATGTCAGTCTACGATGAATAACAACTTGAAACATTGATGCAGTGTTTAGGTCTGTGGTGAATCACGTATGTTTTATTTTTCCCATAATATGTTTTCTTAATGACTGATGTCAGCCTACGTCTCAAAATGATACTATTCAGCTCACATATGTATGGTAGATAGAGTGATATAGATGCTTTTCTTAGGAACCGTATATAGAGTTGGCTTCAGTGCCACTTGACCTCTACAAAGGTTTATAAACTTCAATAAATATCCATTTTCCGTAAGTATTTCGGTCAGTAATTTGATGTCTTCACCCATCGTACCTGGTGTACTGATTCGAAAGATCCTTTTAAACAGGCATCTTATTAAATCTCGCTTGTATTGAACTGGCCAAAAACTGTGAAGATTCAGACATTGTCCTGTCCATTTAGGCTTTCTGTAAACTGACCGTTTGAACCATCTTTTGGTCGACTCAGGAGTATATTCTAGAAATGCAGATGATTATTATACTGTTTCTTCCAAGCCAGGCTGATGTGAGTAGTAGACAGACAAGCCATACCTTAATGCCTCTCACAAATCACTATGATGTCATCAACATATCTCTTGTAAAGAGGAGCTTTAGAGATGAGATCATTAGCTATATATTCGATATATGACATATAAATTTCGTCTTCTAATTACGCTATCTAAATTCACAAAAGGGACTAACAGTTTCAAATAGACTAGTTTATTTTTGTGATAGGTAAGCAGATATCATTGTACAGCATTAGAAAATGATATTGTGAAGAAAGAAACTTTTTCGCTAAATTATCTCCTCTTTCCTAATTGCATATTTTTTATTCATTAGGTATGTTGATCATTATTAGCTCAGATGATTTGCTTACAACGGCCTGTATACAGTAAAGGAGAAAAAAAATGAAGTATTATGATTTATTTTTCCCACATAATTTACTCATTTTGCTGTAGATATGTTCAGGGAAATAACAGAATGAATACATTTTTCGGTGATTCTTTACTAATGAAATTAATGCCATTTAAGAGTGACTGTTTTCAATCACAGCTCATTCAACTTATCATTAGATAATACGAAGGGATAAGTCGTAATTACTGAGCTTATATTCTTTCTAATTAGCGTTGTTTGTCCAAATGCTTCTAGAATTTTTAGAATACACTTGATGTACTGAATTTTATTATTATTATTATTATTATTAGTCCCTTGGGTTCCTAATGGAACATAGGGCTTCAGTAGCACGTCTCCAGTGAACTCTGTTCTCTGAGATCTTTTGAACCTGGTTCCACGACAGCCCACAAGCTCTCATTTCCTCCTCGCACGACCTCCTCCATGTCACCCTCAGTTGGGACGTCCAACTCGTCGCTTCCCCTGGGGATTCCACTCGAGTACCTGGCCTGACGCGTGATGTCCCAGTCGGCCTTCTCAGTGCATGCCCAATCCATCTCCACTTCCTTCCACAAAATATTTGTTGAGTGATAAGTTGTTGGTTGGTTCGTTCCCAGAGCTCCTTGTTGCTTATTCTTTCTGGCAATCCATCTGATCTTCAGTAACGAGCCAGCGTAAGCAGTTGTTGATGAATGTCTGTAGTTTATTGGAAATCCCTTTCGTGACGCGCCAAGTCTCTGAACCATCACATTAAGCACTGACTTGACTGACATTGGTGTTGAAAATCCGGATCTTGTTCCGCATGCTGAGTGCAGAAGATCTCCACACTGGTTTCAGGTTAATGACGCCTGTCTTGCTTTTCCGATTCTGACTTTGACGTCCTCGTTCGTCCCGCCTGTAGTTGAAACAGTGCTTCCTAGATAAGTGAAGGAGGTTACTTCCTTCAAGTTTCTCCCGTTGACGGTGATTGGAGTTTGTTGTTGTTGTTGTATGGGTGGTGCGGTATCTTCATCACTCTGTCTTCTCTATATTCACCTGAAGTCCCGTCTTCGCTGCCTCTTCTATCAACTTGTTAGTTTTTGCCTGTAGGTCTTCAAGTTTATGTGACATCAGGCACAAGTCATCGTTGGCGAAATCCAGATCTTCTAGGTTCTTTTCCGCAGTCCAACCAGCGTATCCCCCTCTTATCGCTCCCCACTGTTTGCTGCATGATCCAGTCAACCACAATAAGGAATATCATGGGGATAGTAGGCAACCTTGTTTCACTCCTGTCTTCACTTCACTGCAAAAGCATCACTGAGCTTCCCATTGTGAATTACTTGGCTGGCATGTGGCATCTTCATATAGTTGTTGAATGAGGCGGATAAATGTTTGCGGTACTCCGCAGTAATGAAGCAGTTTCCAAATTACTTCTCGGTCGACGCTGTCAAAGGCCTTCTCAAAGTCGATAAAGTTGAGGCAGAGAGCTGATTGCCATTCTATGCTCTGTTCTATGATGATGCGTAGTAAGGCGTTGCAATTTGGTCTGCACATGATTTGTACTTCCTGAAGCCTGCCTGTTCCGGTCGCAGTTTTGAGTCCAGTGCATCTTTAAGCCACCCCAGGATGATGCGGCTTAATATTTTGCTTGCTCTGGGTGGACAGGAGAGTGATTCCGCGCCAGTTCTTGCAAACACTGAGGTCTCCCTTCTTCGGAGTTTGACAAGTTAACCCTTCTTCCAATCAATGGCCAGCTACCTTCTCTTCCTTCCACACCTTCTGCAATAGTGGTGTGAGCATGTCTGCTGTTGTCACTGCGTCTGTTTTCAGTGCTTCTGGCGGTATCCCATCTGGTCCTGCTGCTTTCCTACATTTCAGTAGCTTTATGGCGTTCAGGACTTCCATTTTTG